AACTGTAGTGTAATCATGGGATCCTTATTATCAGAAAGAACATGCACAAGTTTAATTTAAATATGTAAACTCCACACCAGAACAGAAAACATCTTTGGTTTGATGCATAGAATTTATAAAGCACTATTGTTGAATATCACCATGCTTCAGAATGGCATTGGGGAACATGTGACCCAATGTCTAAAAACAGTTAAATCTGAAGCACAACTGGACCCTAAAATAAAGCAACTGGTAAACTTCTGAAAGATCGAAATAGTGGATGCTGTTTTTGTTTTTTGTTTGTTTTGTTACTTCTTTACATCACTGGAATATTAACCTAAATGCAGTTTCCTATTGCAGAAGATTCGGTGGTATTTGAAGTAGTATTTTCTTTAGATATAAGGAGATTAAGAACATTTAAATGAAACAGAATCTGCCACAACCCTTGATGATGAAGCAGCAAGATGACTTTTCTAAAATCGTGTTGGATACCAATGTATCCTCATGAGTTTTAATCCTTCTGCATATTCACTTAGGTTCTTCTTAATTTCGTTGCCACTGTCCTCAATTTATTGAAAGTTCGGCTATTGGTTTAATCTACCTAATGCAATGCAGTATTAGGACATATGATTCCCAACAGACTCATTACTTTGAACACAGAATACCTGTGAGTCCACTTATACATCTCGTTGGAGTCAGAAAGCTGACCAATAATCACTTGATTTTCATTAATGTAATTGCCATTGTGTTTTTAGGAACAAACCTGAGAAAACCTTAAAAAGTGTCTTTGCTACATATCAGCCCAAAACCTTGTTCCTCTTACAGGAGTGCCTGTGCTTCCTTACCTGCTCATCTCAGTCACCTTAATGCCTCCTAAGGAGTTTGCAAAATTCTAGCATGACCACATACTACTAACACCTTATAAAGTTATCTTATTTTCTTTTCAATCAGTGAATTATATTATACATATTTATGGCCTTTGCATATATTTATTTATTTATATATATATATATATATATATATTTTTTTTTTTTTTCTTGTGCAAAAATAGCATTCTAAAATAAGTAACAATTATGTTTAACTTGAAATAAAAATGAAATATTTCCTAACCTAGTCACATTTTTTTTCTCTAAACCGAATTATTATGTATATGATAAAAACGTAAAGGCATCAAAAATTGTTTTCTAATTGGCAGCTTCTGTTTCTATCTCAATATCAATAGGCTTGAAATGACTCCCTGGCATTGCACTTTAGATAATATCATTGGCATTCTTACAACAGGCTCTACGTAGGCAGTGGATTTTTGCTTTCTTTTATTACAGCATTAAAATGTGTCTTGTTCCCCTTGCAAAGACACAATCCTGCTGAATCTTTCCATCTGCTTTGAGATTGCTTTATTACAAATGAGGTCATTTTAACTCAATGTAAATGGGGTTATGAATTCAGATGTCACAGTTAATGCCCCCTATTCCATTCTCAGCACCACAGCTTCTCGCTCCTACAACAATGCCTAAACAACCTCACTCCCCCTGCTTTCAGTTTCCCAGAATCTAATCTGCCTGCCTGTCCCCTTCAGCCAAAGCGATGTGCATGTCTGCCTGACCAACTCTCCAATCCCGCTCATCCTCCTCTTTCCATCCTTTCGTCTTCCTGCATCCATGCAGCCCGCCCCCAGGCCTGGCAGAAGAATTGTTTATTTTTTTGCTCTGACTTAAAGGAAAATCTATTTAACATATCTGGAGCTTTTGCTAGTTATCAAATGTTGACTCTCGGGAGTGATGCCTGGAGGAAAAGTTTAAGCTCGAATCCATATTTGAACAAATAAATACCTTCCGAAATTCATAAGGTTATGCAGGCATCCTATCATTTTAGGAATATACACCAATGGCATAAGTAATTTATCAAGTGGAGCCACATTAGTCAGTTGCAGCGTACAACTTCACTTTTATTTAATGTGCTGTTGGCTACAGTTCACTGCCATACTGTATATTCTGTTTGATTCTAACTATTTTTTGTTACATAATCTATATAATTTATATATTTACTGATTAAAAATACTCTGCCACTAAGTCCGTATTTTGTACCGCTACATATGTTTTATGTGCAGATATATCAATTCTTTTTTACATAATGTAAGGAAAAAAGAGCAAGCAGGATCTTTGGAGTGGGTTGATATGGTACTAAAATATTCAATGCAAAACAAAAAACTTACAGCAAATCACAAGGAGAACAGAACATGGAGCTTTGAAGGGGGGGGGGGGGAAGCAATTAGACAAGCTGGGTATGGAAGAATCCTGCACTGAATAAAGGCAAAACTCATACTTAAATAGCAGCTAAAGCAGGTAAGAGGCGTGAGCATAATTGGCAGGTTGAGATGGTGGTCTGTGAGCTTGATTGTGCTGACCATTAAGGATCATGGAAATGAGAAGGGAGATGGAAAAGAGAGAAAGAGCTGAGGTGGGACTAGAAGAAACCATTAAAAAACGGGTAAGGGATAAATAGAAATAAATTCAAATTCTTCTAAAATTAAACAAGAACACAATAATCTATTAAACTAAACACAAAGGGAATGAACTAATAATGCAAAAGCTATCTTATAATAAAGAGCAATGTGTGAGACAAACACTAAGGAGCATGAAGAAATTGTTGAAATATACATTAGTTCTGCACTCCAAAACTCTGCCCTTTATGGATTTTCTTTTGGGGAAAGCCAAATGAAAGAATCCCATCAGAAGTCCCATTTGCACTTTTCCTCAAACCATGTTGGGCACACAGCAAAAATGGGGAAATGAGAACTTGGGTCAGAAAATACTAACATTTTGGGGCTTACATGCGAAAAATAGAAGTCCTTCCTCAAATATTGCCAAACTTCATAATTACACATGGTGATGGTAGTAGCACAGTTTGGGGATGTTAATCTTTATTAGAAATATAAAAGCTTATATTACAGGAAAATAAATTGTGTTAAAGAAAGTGCATGTGTGGAAGAAAACCTGTTAAGGCTGCAAAAGACCAGTGACTGTAAGACTGTAGTGCAACACAGTAAGCATTACAAAGCAATGGCTTGGAGATCATTGCTCGTTAATCTGTTCACACCTATTAATTAAGAAGAGCTGGAAAGCAAGGCCTTGTAGATAATTGTTCTCCAGTCAGCCTAAACCTGAGATATTTTGTTAAAGAAGAATAAGAAAATAAAATAAAAATGTAACTTTAATACTTTAATATTTACTTTAATATTGACTGCCATGCGGCAGCACAAACACACACACACACATATATATATATATATATATATATATATATATATATATATATATATATATATATATATATATATATATATGTTACACTACAATAATCATTTTTTGACCAAAAGAACAACAGATGTATCATTTGTGTGTGAAAGAAATAGAGTGTAAAGATAATGGGGAAGATGCTCAGGTTTCTGGAAACATTGTGAGGGTAGTGATGGCATTAGGATGTGGATGGCACTTACCTAGGCTGTAAAAGCATTTATTTCCCGTGTGCTAGAAAAGTGTTGAAATGGTAAGAAGTGCAGCCTGCTCATATTGATCAGAGCTGACAAGTATGGCCCAGGCAGGCCTTTTCTGCTGTATCAGTGCTTTCCTGACTTTTACGAGAGGTGCTCATGTGTGGGTGGAGAGAATGGTGGGTGGGCAAGGGAGACTGCACATGCCGTACAAAGGAGTCATCTTTCTGTTGTGGATTGGTGGTAAGTAGCCATTTGTAAACCGATCTTTGGATGAGGAAATTTAATGGTCTCCTAACCGTATTTACAAGCTATTCAATTTGATAAAGGGTGCGATCTCCAATGAATCTTTGCATGCCACTCTGCTCATCTTCCAACAGTTAAATTCTGGAAATCATTCCGTTCTTTTTTTTTTTTTCTATTTTATTGTTTTAATCTTTAATTAAACCTTAATGCCATCAAACAACAAAAGGGTCTCTACTAACAAATTCTAATGCTTGCATATTCATGTCTGTCCCAAACAATTTTCTCACTACACTGCTGAGTTTCTTTTTGTTAGTCTTATTTAGATTCTCTTGGGAATTGTGTTAAATTGTGAAAATATTGTTTGGGCTTTTTGCCGGTTTAAACATCAAACGGTGCGGAAAACTGAATGGGGGAATATTAAAATGCGTGCGTGGAAGAAGCTCACTGGGGCTACTGATTAGTGCACCAATCACTGTCATCAGAATTCATTTGGTGGTGACAGATTTAGAAAATGAATCCTCTAACTGACTAATGATCATAATAACTGCTATGAAAATATGTTTGACGCTTTCAGTTTTTGTACCCCAAACCCCTTCACACTCACCCACACACACACACACTCCCATCCGCATCCTCTAATGTTGTAAAATGTTTGCACTTAGGTTCATACATATGAATAGGTATTGTCTGTGTAGATAAATATCTCATGTGTGCATACTTTATTTATAACATACAAATCATTAGCACAAGTTTTATTTTCATTAAACTATTGTGAATATGGAAAAATACGGGCCCTGTTTTCCAGTTAGTTGTATTAATTTATTCTTTGTTTATTAGGTAACAACTGATTTTGATCAGTTTCGTATTTAAAAAAAAATGTTATTTAACCTGTTTCAGTCTTTGCCCCTTATTTACACATCCAAGCCTTCTGAGTCAGTGTTGAGTTTTTGTGGTAGTTGTGCGGCAGCCGATTTGCACATTCTTATTAAAGAAATAAATATCCCTCCCCATCTTCTTCATATATTTATACCTTATGTAAAATTCAGAATAATAATAGTGCAAAAGTCGATTAAATATTTATCAGTGTTTAATATTGCATGGTATTTTCTAACTTTCAGAGAGGGAACTTTATAGAGATAGCAGTGTTCAGTGTTAAATGAAACAATTTCAGGTATAACATTTATCGCTGGGGAACCATTCTCTACAGAGGAAATATAACTAAATGATGTAGTCAAGAGATTTGTTCCCACTTGTTAAAAAACATATGTTTCTTCCTGTTTTGCAGCATCCCCATCGTCGTGTGACCTTTTCTACCACCAACCCAGTGCAGGACCTGCAGGACGCCTCACAGCACAGCTACTATGACAGTGGCTTGGAAGAGTCGGAGACCCCCAGCAGTAAGTCTTCATCTGGTCCTCGCATCGGACCCCTGACCCTGCCCGAGGACCACTACGAGAGGACCACCCCAGATGGCAGTATTGGAGAAACAGAACACCCAGAAAACGGTACAAAAGCAATGTCTTTCATTTTTTTCTTGTTACATTACAATAATTCAATACAGTGATAGAAAACTAAAAGAATGGCATAATGATACAATAATTTCAAGTAATTTTAATGCCAAAACACAATTTCTCAAAATTTAAGAGACTTTCCTAATATTTTCTTGAATAATTTTTAAATAAATACATGACACTAACTATTTGAATAATTATTATCTCTTAACATCTGTAGGTTAAAAATGGCAAAACAACACAATACTAGAGTTTGGTATCTTAAAAATAAATTAAGGCAGGTGCCCACTCAGTTCATGGTAGGTATACAGTTGCTTTATAATCTTGCTCTTTTCTGGTGATAAACATGAATTTATGTTCAAGGTTTGGGATATTTTTCTTTAACGTAACTCTGCTGAAAAGCAATTCTTGGTCAATTTTGCAACAAAAATAAGGTTAATTTAATTTAGAATGTTCAGGTCATATAAAGCATCTGGCATTGTATGTCTCCAACTCTATAGAAAACCTGCCTATGTCATTTTAGAGGGTCAGACCATTCACTTAATAAATAATGTGACCTTATGTGCCGCTTTAGCTCGGTACTATGGTGCAAACTTCAGATGTTTATTTGGACTTTAACTTGTCAATATAACACAAAATATAAGGCCAACACTTTCTTATTTAGGTTTTAATATGCAGCCATTAAAGTAAACTTTCAGGGGTTCCTAATGAATTAGCTCCCAGTAATTTCAGACTACCAGTTGGTATGAATTCACAGCCTTCCAATCTTCTATAATATTTATCTTCATTCTATCTCCATACCAATCTTTTACAGATTTTAAACATCCGGTACCTTGGAATCAATATTTTAAACAGACTGAGCTGACACACTTTTCCTATTGTTCAAAATAATTAAATACTATATCAAACAGTGGAGAAATCTCTATTTCTCACTCGTAGGAAGAGTGTCTTATGGTGGTTATTTAATAACAAAAACTGCATTTTCCCTTAAATTGCAATTTAACCACTTCAGATTATGGGCATTGGATCCTTGGCACCAGGGTTGCTCTGGGATGGAATTGGGTCTGGCAAAGAGGAGTGATGGGTGACGGTAGGGCACAGCAGTCTCTGAAGCAAAGGCGGTTTCTTGCCTAATGCTGCTCCTGCTGGTATGAGCTGATTTGAGGTAGGTTGAAAAAGAAGATCCACGAAGCTTGTTTTGCATGAGTGGAAAAGAACAGGTTCCAGGATTGGGAGAGTTTTTAGGGATTTGTGTTGAGAAGGGGTTAAAGGACACTGGTTATATTGAGGTGAAAAATAGGGTTTTTTAAAAGCTGTGTGCAACTGCCAGATCAAGTAGGGTGCCTGTAGTCTTGCTGGTCAAGTGCAACTCTGGGTCCTGAGCTGTCCAGGGAGGTATAAAACAAAGTTCTTTAAAAAAGAAGTCAAGGATTCAAATTTCCTTTTCAAACTGGTTAAAAAGTTTTCTGTCCAAGCAAACATAGTAGACTGCATAAAGTCAGTAAGTTGCAGCCTGTAAACTTTCTAGATGACCATGTAGCAAAAGTGGGTGATGGGTTATTTTGTGTTGTAAACATTACAGCATCCCTCATAGTGAGAGATGCTGTAATGTCCAGTGTATTGTTTTTATAAACTTTTATGGAATCAGAGAAGTAGTGTCATCTTTAACATCAAAAAACTTCCTGCATAACCAAGTCAATCTGTCCATCTGCCATGACCTACTGGGCTCGGAGGAGACCTCTGCGAAAGAACACAGAGGCTCTGATTTAGCTACCATGAAGAAAATGAACCGGAAAAGAACATACAGTTAAAAGCTGAAATTATATCAAAATTGGAGAGTAGGGGAAACTCTTGCGACTGCAAAACTTCTTTCTTTCGTTTTTCTTTTTATTTATTCGTTTTTTGTTGTTTTTTTTGGTGGGCGGTGAACAGCCGCTAGGTAAATACCGCAATCAAGACATCTTTTTATGCAGGCCGGGTGCCTCCGGGCGCTTCACTGCTCCCTCAAGATACTGGCTTGTTCATCATTACATGGGCATTACTCTGTCGAACATTATGTATAACTTAGGCTGTCGTTGGACATAAGTTTTGGACTCATTATTAATACTGTATGTATACGCCAAACATTGAAAAAATACATAGAAAGTTCAGCGTATGCCAGCGTTTTAGGAGATTCTGGGTTGTCAGGCATACGTTGTCTAAATCGGTGTGACAGGGCCCTAATCTAGATCTTCAAGAATGCTTGTACTGTGTTGCAATGATTGCAACGTTACCAATTGGAAAGACATAAAAAGAATGGGCCAAGTGCTGAACCCTGCCCTCCACAAGTAATATGGAGTAATGTAAGAACATGATTTATCATTTAAAAAGAAAAGACTGGGATATGTATAAAATACCATTTCATTAAATAATAAATAACCATTTAATTTAAATGAACAAAGTTCTACTCTCTTGAGCCCTCCAGTATCTAAAGCATTTTTAAACGGAATAATGTTGACAGTAAAACAGACGTGTGTGGCTGCAACATAAGAAATTGTAAAAAAGTTTAAGAATAACAAATAGTTTTGCTGCATGCCTGTGATTATTTTTAGTAATGAGATCTATTTGACAGATGTGCCCTGTAACTATTTGTGCGGTGGCACTGAGACTGTGTATGTTGACTGTTTTTTTCTTTTTTTATGCAGATCTTTGCATCTTCGAGTGACTGTTTGGGTGTGAGTGTTGTTTAAGGGCTTGCATAAACAGGGTCTCCATCCCCCCTCATCAGTACAATCTCTGTCAGACATCCTTAATGACCCTCTCTCACAAGTGTGCTAATTAAAAAAGCTAAACTAATGGAGCATTTGCCCCCTAAATAAATCTGACCCATGACATCCGGGCAGAAAACACCATGTTTTGCTCTCTGTGGACAAAACTTACACAGCCCTTTAGTTCCACATGTGCCATCAGTTTTGAGCAATGTAATCCATATACAAGCAGATTTCCATTAAAAAATGAAAACATCATGTTCATCTAGCGGCCTTGTGATAATTATCTTAAGCTGCCAAATAAAATGCAGGTCTTTTGTAACAATATGACTGATTTGCATGTTGAATTTCTAGCTTTCTATTTACTGCTGGGCAAGAGAAGCTCACTTTTATATTAATTACTGCTTTGTTGCAATAATGTGGTTTTATCTCATCATCATGTAGGCTTTTCTCTTTATCTATTGGTTTTGAGACTAATGCTTTCACAGACTTATAAATGAATTAATAACAACACAAACACTGATGCTATGATACTCAGAGGAAGCTACAAAATAACATTGTAACAATGTCTGTGAGAGTGTGTGTCGGAGTAATCAATCAAACACATTTCTCTTAGAGAATACATTTTATAGAGTATGGGAATGTGCAAAGTGCAAAAAAAGTTAAAAGCAGAACATTTTTTTTTAAGTTTTACACATGAGGATGTATATATGAAAATAACAACAACAAACAACATTAAACCTAAATGTTCAGCATAAATGTCATGTCTAGCTGAATAAGTAAATCAAAATTACTTTGAAGGATATTCAAGCAGATTGATGGTATAAAAATGTTTTTTTATTATCCCCATTTCTGTGCATTTCCCCTTTCTTATACAAAGCATGCTTGCCATCCTTCGTGTCTTGTGCGTTGCTTTTTAGGCACTGAAACCAAAAACAAAAAGAAAAAAAGAAAAAAAAGATTTTCACTAAAGAGCAGGTAAAGAGCCTTATTCATCTTTAGGGCAAATATCATACACACTACAAACAAGTGGGTCAGACATAACCCAACTACTGCTGGGCTACTCCTAGCTGGGGTGGTCCAGTATTTTTATTGTTATATTATAACCCAACAAATGGGTTATAATATTATACCCAAATTATGGGTTCAATTAAATGCAAATTTTAATAAATCTAGCAATGCATATTTGTTGTTGCCTCTATATGCTGTGTTGAAATTAATAAACAACCTGGGTTTTTCTAACTTTATAATGTGGTATTTCTTCTGCCCAAATGCTGGATGAAATTAACCACAGTTTTTGATTGTTTCACCAGCTGCATATTTTTTTTTTGCTTAGTAAAATTACCTTAGAATAATTCTAACATTTTACAGTAGAATCACTAGGAAAATAAATCTGACTACCCATACATTTATATATATCTTAAATTCTAAATCTGTTCATGCAAAGCATGTTTTATGCAATAAACACAATCATAGAATCTTTAAAAGGCACCACCATCAAATGTATTAATACTTAAATACCCACAATACAAAAAGGAAGCTGTACTATTTATTATGGAACTTAAATTAGTGCAAATAAAACAATGTAAAACACTGTATACCAACTGAGAAGAGCACTAGCCCAAGTGTCAAACTGGGAATAACTAGCTGTCCCTGAGTTAGCTCCACTGACAGCTAGGGATGGGAATCGAAAACCGGTTCCTGTTAAGAACGGGTTCCGTATTTTCCGATTCCATGGCATCGTTTGGCAGCTCGCTGAATGATTCTTTTTTCGATTCCCGCAGCACCAGAGCCTAGAGCGCCGGCTCTGGGGAGCACAACTTACGTCACGTTTTTACGTAAGTTACGCAACTTACGCAAGTTACGCAAGTTACGCAAGTTGGAAGAACAATTCGAGGAGGAAGACAACGAGCTGCGGTCACTTTGTGAATCAAAGCCCCGTCTTTCCTTAGCCCAGAGGGTAGATCAGGAAATCCAGCTCTATAAAAGCTTGCCCTCCATCCCCTGCAGGGATAGCGCCACACTGTGGTGGTGGAACAAGCAAGATACGCTGCCCTTGCTATCTGGACTGGCTGAAAACTACCTCTGTGTGCAGGCTTCCTCCACCCAATCTGAGAGGGTATTTTCCACGGCTGGAGACACCATAAGCCCTGAAAGATCCCGTATCCTTCCAGAAAAAGCAGATATGCTCATCTTTCTGCAAAGAACTGTTAATTTTCCCTACTACTGTTTTATAATTAGTATTTT